AGGGCTCACAGCCACCACCACCTTCCAAAAATAATAGCAAAGCACCCACCTTTTGCTGTAGAGCATCGTGCAAGAGCTGAGGAAGGCCCAGGAGAGAGTAATGGGCTTGCAATGCTGAAAACCATGCGAGAACCAAGCACCAGGCTTTGTAGGCAGCGAGGGTTCAGGTGGCCCTCATCTCGCTCCACCTGCTGAGGATGATTGCTGGGGCTTTGGCCTAAGGAGGTAAAGTGCCCTTGGTAACCCAAAAGCAAGGGCAGAGCCTCTGTCATCCTTTGTGGCATCCCCAACAACCAGCAGCTCCCTGCTAGGGGAGGAGCAGGGACACTCTTGCAGCAGTGTCACCATGGCTGGACACCCACCAGGTGTCTGAGTCTCAAATGTGAGAGCTCCACGCTTGACACAGAGATGTTCGAGTGAGTCCAGAGGAGGACATGAAGGTGCTGAGGGGCTGGAGCAGCTCTGCTCTGGGGACAGTTGAGAGAGTTGGGGGTGTTCAGCCTGGAGAAGAGAAGTTTCTGGGGAGACCTTATAGCGACCTGCCAGGACCTGGAGGGGCTACAGGAAAGCTGGGCAGAGGCATGGAGTGATGGGATGAGGGGGAATGGCTTTAAACTGGAAGAGAGGAGATTTAGATTAGATATTAGGAAGAAATTATTCACTCTGAGGGTGTTGAGGCCCTGGCACAGGTTGCCCAGAGAAGCTGTGGGAGCTCCGTTAACACCAAAGGGAGAAAAGTGATGGATTCATAATAAATGGAGACCCACCACAGAGTAAAGACAGCCTGAGCGTGGTTTCAGGAAAGACTCCTGTTCCTAAGGGTTTATGGCACCAGATGAGCTTGTCACAGCCTGCCCCATAGCTCGGCACCATCTCTGCATCCCACCACACTCTTCCTCCCTGGCACCCAGGGTCAGCCACGAGCACAGCCCAGGAGGCTGCAGCCCTCAACTCTGCAGCATCAAAGGCAGATTCTGGTTTCTGCCCAAAAAAACACCATGCACAAAGGGGAAAAGAGGCAGGAAAATAATCCAGGTCCCTTCAGAGCTGCCAAAATACCTTGCTGGGAACGCAGAGTAACTTTCTTTAATGGCCCACCTTGAAGAACACCTGTAAAGCAAAACAGAGGGGAAAAAAAAGCCCAAAGATGCTGAAACTGAAACCTCGCACTCAGGGTCACCCTGAAGGAGGTGTTTCAGTTTAAACCACTGACCCGAGAGGTCTTTGTTTGCCCAGTTATGCCTTGGCAGTGGCCACTGCCAGCAAGAGGTAGCAGACTCTGAGGCACGGGTATAACATTGCCTCCAGTTGTGATGGGGAGGGAAGAGGCTGCAAACACCTTCAGCCATGGGGGAAGCAAGAGCAGAAAGCGCTGATCCATGGGGCACTGGGCTCTGACCTGGCTTCTTCCATCCCCTGCTCTCTTGCACCGGGTTTGACCCTCTGGGAAATAAAGGACTTTTTGCAGAGGATCCATGAAGATTAATTCAAAGCCTTTATTCCTCCTTGCTCACAGTAAATCCCTCCAAAATGAACCACTGCATGGTCGACTGCAACTACAGCTCCAGGACAATTGTGCTGGAGCAGTTTGGTGTAACTAAGGTGATTTTGTTGTTGCTTCAGGCTCTCCTGGGAGGATTCAATGGGAAAATGCAGCAGAGGATGGATAGGGTACAGATGAGTTTATCTAAGGGTTGGTGGACATGGAGCACAGCCCAGGAGTTTTCCCTTCTTGCCTTTTTGGTCCATGCTCCATCAGCTTCTCCAAAGATGCACATGGTGGAAAGCTGGGATTTGAACCAAAACCAACCCAAATGGACTGTGGCATCACTGTGCCACCACCGATGGCATCCCCCAGCCTGGGGTGCTCCATCCCTGAAGAGAGAGGACAGACAAGGATGAGGAGAGGAAGGCTGGGCAGAGGAAGGCTGGGCAGAGGAAGGCTGGGCTGCCACCTGCTGTCCACAACAACCTCTCCAAGTCCTAAAACGGGACGAAATCTGGATAACTCAGATCTGCGTGTGCCTCTTAACACACAGGTCCATAACCCCGTGGTGTGGTCCTCCAGGTTGGGAGAGTCACCAGCAACTTAACCCAGGTGGAAAGGGGAATCCCAGAATATCAGGAGTTGGAAGGGACCTGGAAAGCTCCCCCAGTCCAACCTCCCCAGAGCAGGATCACCAGAGCAGTCACACAGGAACACGGCCAAGGCTTTTGGTGTCTGCAGAGGAGACTCCACAACCTCTCTGGGCAGCCTGGGCCATGCTCTGGACCCTCACACTCACAAAGTTTGGCCTCACCTTCAGCTTGAACCTCCTGTGCTCCAGCTTGGGACCATTGCCCCTTGTCCTGGCATTGGACATCCCAGAGCAGAGCCTGGCTCCTCCTCCTGACACTCACCCTTTCCACATTGATCCCCATGAATGAGGGGACCCCTGGTCTCCTCTGCTCCAAGCTCAAGAGCCCCAGCTCCCTCAGCCGCTCCTCAGCAGGAGATGCTCCACTCCCTCCATCACTTTGTGGCCCTGCTGGACTCTTTCAAGCAGTTCCTGTCCTTCTTGCACTGAGGGCCCAGAGCTCACAAAAGATTGCAGCTGGGGTCTGAGCAGGGCAGAGCAGAGGGGCAGGAGAACCTCTCTGCCCTACAACCACCCCTTCTCATCCACCCCAGGATGGTGTTGGCCTTCTTGGCTCAAGGGCACATTGCTGGCTCCTGGGATCTCCTGCCACCAGCACCCCCAGGTCCCTTTCTGCTGTGCTACTCCCCAGCAGGTCAAAGAAGACCACCACATCCTAATGGAGCAGTGGGCAGCAGAGCAAGTGTCCTGAAGGATTTTCCTCCACCCCACTCACACACTGGGAGCCAGGATTAGGAAAACCAAGAAGCAACACGACACACACTGCATTGGCTGAGCTGAACTTCTCCTGAATTTCTCTTCTTCTCTGCAGCCCCCCACCACTGCCTTCCTGGGCCAGGGGGACATCACAGACAGTGTCGTCATGAGCTAATTTGGTGGCATTAATAAACATCCCATCCAAATGATGGGTGGGAGGTCTGGACCTCTCCTACAAGAGTTGTGCTAATTAATCTCCTACCTTCCTCCTCTGATGTCAGGCTTTCTCGTAAAGCCATCGTTAGCCCTAATTAAGAGGCTCTTGGAGATGACTGTCCCCTGAACATCAGCCGTATTTTGACAGTGATAATAACTACAGAAATATCTTTGGTGGAATAATAATAATAATTACCCAACTGCAAGAAAGAAAAGGTCCCAGGAGGAGTGGACAGTGGGGGAGAAATCAGAAGCTGGAGCCCTTGTCTCTGGTGGAAGGCGTTGGGTGAGGGAGAAACATGGCCCAGCTTCCTAAGACTTGCTTCCCTCTGTCTATTGACCACACACCTGTGAACAGGGCATATTTAGTCCCCAAAGCACTGAACCATAAAGATTCCTCAGCCAAGAGCTTCCCAAATATCTCAAAACTGCCCCAGAAACACAGTCTGCCATCAATCCTCTGAATAAGCAGCCCTCAAAAGCTCATCCGACCTCATCTGAGGGCTTTGCTCCATGGCCACCCAGAGCTCTCGGCATCTCCGGGGCTGGATCCAGTTCTTTAGGGCTTCCCTCAGTTTTGCTCTTTTCAAGCCTTTTTTTCCTTGTCTGGTCTTGGGGATTTAGAAAGGAGGAGCCCAGTCCCCAAAAAATGTCCCTGCAGAACAGTTGTCCTTGGCCTGATGAGCTCCAGATGCTCGCCCAGCTCCTGGGTCATGCCACGGGGAAAAACCCTGACCCAAATCTGCACACACCCACGGTGCCTCCCATCACCCCCAAATCAAAGAAATGATGGCAAACGGCCCCAATTTCAGGTCTGGCCTTACCAGACTTGGATCAAAAGCGGTGTCTGTCCAGCCGCAACCCAAATTTCCCACTGCCGAAAGCAGCAGCAAGGGTTTTGGCATCCAAACCTTCCTTTATGTTTTTGCTCTCGCTTCTTCTCAATGTTTTCTTTTTTAAACTCAAACCAAAGGTGTTCGAAAGGTGCAGGCAGAGAAATCATTTCTCCATGCAAGATGAGCCGTGGCAATAAGGGGCCATCGCACCTGAAAGGAGGCGACAGATAGGTCACTATGTGAAAAAAGAATTAAATAAAATAAGATAAACAGCAACAACAACACCAAAACCCCTCCTCGCTGGAGGCATAGGCTGAAAATTATGGCAACAACTGTATTTTTTGCACCAGCCCCACTTAAAAAATACTCTAATGATTCATAATGACCCATCCAACTAAAACCAGGAGTACCAGTGACCTACCCGTCAGCTTTTAGCATCCTGCTAACAAGCTTAAAAGCACTGGTAAGGAGTTCAGTTTAGCCACAACCAGCTTGAAGGAGGAAAATAGGATCTCGAGTCTACAGGAACAGTCGTCTTTGCAGAAGGTAAGTGCCTTTCCTTCCCTTCTTTACTACCAATCTGTGAAGAAATTAAACCAGAATGAAGGCGCTTGGTGACAGGCAACTGAAAGTCAGATTTTCAGCAAAGAAAGGCTGGGGGGTTGGCATTTTACCCCCCTTGAACCGCTAAGAAAGACAAATGTAAAACTCTAATTATTAATCAACTCTTTTAAAAGCTGCTTTTCTGAGCAGCCAACGGTTGGGAAAGTTCTGCAGCACTCTGGTGAGAAGCTCAGGATAGAAATATTGCTCCTAGATAGGACAGGGGAGCTTCGTGATTGCGTTTATTGCAAAGAAATCTATCTTTAAATGAGACAAACCTGTTCTTGTGGCTGTGTGCCTGCACCAAAGCATCGGTAGCCGTACCAATGAGTCACTGTGAGGATGTGATTGTCACAGGCACCCATCCAGATGCTTCTGAGACACCCAGCAAGGACGTTGTCCCATGCTGGACCTGTCCCATGCCAGGGCTCCTGCATGGGCTGGGGGATGTTGGTGGCAATTGCAGCCCTGGATGTTTCTATCTCGATTTCTGCCTTCTCCAGAAAGACAAATGCAGATCGGGCAGTGGCTGTACCTCTCCGGGCTGGTGTTTGCCGTGCTGATCCCCGCAGGGTGGCAGATGGGCCCCGAGGATTTGGGTGACACCTCCAGGTATGGGGCATTGGCAGAGCTGACCGGGGGAGGCGGCCGGTGTGGGCAGGGGCTGTCGGAGCAGCTCAAACCCCTCCATTACCTTTGCTCCCCAAGCTCTGGGGATATTGCAATGTTCCTGTTTCTTCTGTATTTATCCAGACAAGCTCCCTTCTTGTTTCTGCCATCCTATGCATAGTCACGATGCCAAGGACAGAGTCAGGATGGGGTGATGCTTTGGGCACAGTGCTCAGCCCCGCTCTGCATTGCAGGAAAACCCTTTGGGGAGCTCCTCTTGGGAACCCCACCATCAGCTCTACATCCTGAGGTTGATCTGAACCTTGGGGCAGCCCCCAAACAGCAGCAAGTCCAGACCAGGGTGGATGCACAAACCCCACCACGGCCAAGACATAGGGCAACCAATTTTGGAGAGGACATTGCATATATTGGATACCAGAGACAACCCTGGCCAGGCACCCCCCGAGGCTGAAAATTAATTTTATGTATTATTATAGCTTCTCTGGAGGATGCTCCATGCAGTAAAGTACTTTACAGGGGACAGCCCCTGCTCCAGGCATCTCTTGCAGGGACAGTGCAGGTTTCCCAAGCCACAACGTGTATTAAACCACGTTTTCTTCTCCCCCGAGCAGATGGCAGTCGTACGAAGCCCGAAACGCCCAAAGCTTCGCCTCCAACATCAAGCGGCACTCGGAAGGCACCTTCAGCAGCGACTTCACCCACTACCTGGACAAGATGAAGGCCAAGGACTTTGTGCACTGGCTCATCAACACCAAGCGCTACAGGTAAAACCAGAGAGGAGGATGGAGCTGTGCTGGGAAATGACCTCCCACCACGCCACGAGTCCCTGATCTCAACCCATAATGTGCTTTTAGAAGTTTTTCTCTCCATGTGTTGTCCTATAGAATCGTAGAAACCTAGAATCATTACGGTTGGAAGAGACCTTTAAGATCATCAAGTCCAACCATCAACCCATGGCCACTAAACCATGTCCCCAAGTGCCACATCCACATGGTTTTTTGAATTCCTCCAGGGATGGGGACTCCACCACCTCCCTGAGCAGCCCTTTCCAGTGCTTGACCACTCTTTCAGTAAAGAAATTTTTCCTAATATCCTTATTTTTGGCAGCTCAACTAAGAGATACCTGAAGGATGAACCCCGCAGCAGCCCCTTCCCAGCCGCATTCCCATCGCTCGCGTAAGTCACCCTGCACACCAAACGTGGATGATTAAAACCAAATAAATGAGCAACTTCACAAAAGCAGCCACAAATCAGAGGGTTTGGTGCAAAAGCAGAGCCCGGCTTCCTTCACCTGGTGTCCCTTCTCATTTCTGCTGGCTCATGTGGATTCTCCATTGCTGTAATAAAATACTTCATTATTATTACACATTTTGTACTTGTAATAAAATAAAGCAAGGAAAATTATGCTATATTGGAGAGGGAAATGATCTAGAACAGGAAGAAACCGCTTTGTGACATTTTACACTTCATTTCAGCATTAAGGTGGTGGGATCCTTATTCACATTTAATGGGGTTATTACTGTGTTTCGGCCTTGTCCAAGCACAGTGGTTGCTCCTTCACAAATGAGAAAACCACAGCTACTGTTTCAAAGCCCCTGAACTGATTTTTTGGGGGAGTTTCTAACCTGTGAAGCTGTTTGGTGTTTTAATTTCAAGGTACAATTAAACGGCAAATCAAGGCATCAGCTTTCCAGCAGCATCGGTTTGGATAGGATGCCCTCAGGATCAGATGCTCCCCAGGAAGGATTCTCCATCCCACGTCTCTGTGTTGATCCATTCGGGGTTTCCCAGCCAAATCCTCCCAAAATCTGTCCCTGCAGAGCAGCCTCCCCTTCAAATCTGGATTTTCCCAGCTTCATTTCCTCTGTAACGGCTCCCCTGGTGCTGCAGGTTTCCTAACTTATAATATTTCTCTAAATTATAATAAATTATTTGCTCCATCTGGCAGCTGCTTCCTGAAGTCTCCATCTCCTCCCATCGGAAACCAACGGTCTGGGGGAACTCTGGGGATCCCA